GGGAAAACCTGTGCTGTACCCAAATCTAATGTGCTGCACAAGATAATAAAACGATCAATGTTTAAAGTGCCGTCGAACAAAATCGAGAGAAAGAAATGGGCAGTGGCGTTACCTGAAATCAATAATTTGAAAGCGTCTCATTTCATATGTGAAAAACATTTTGACGATGCGTTTATAATTCGCAAGTACGAAAAATACGATGTTAATAGAAAACTTATTGCTGAGGTAAATATACTAAAATAATTTGTTCTTCAAATGCAATATTATCGTTGTTGTAATATCATTGAGATAATATCGGTACGATAATATTATACAAATAGATGTAACGCGTTTCTAAATATTCTAAATTAAATTAACATATTTTTGCTTTTTTATAGAGAAAGCTTTAATTGTTTTCATAAAAAAAAATTTTGTTTGCAGCAGTATTTGGTATTGCTTTTCGATCCAGTCGAGGTTGTTGATACGTATATTGGAAAAGAGTTTGCACATTGCTTTTGCTAAAAAATTCGTGCCACAAAAAAAAGTCAAAATTGGCAAATAAGTGATATTTGTTTTAAATTACATTAATTAATGATAAAAAAGTCTTTACTTTTAAATTAATAACTTTCTATGTATTATTTATTTAATAAAATCAACCTTTCTTCATCCTATATCTGGCCACAAAAAGTAATAATTATTTTCATTTTTTAATAATAATAATAATAATAATAGAGAAGCGCGGGCGACATGGCGTTACCTCGTCTCCCCTTCGTCTTTCCTGACGTTATTTCGTGAAAAGAAGGTATTCCGAGTTCATTTCGCTGCTGAGGAAGGAGGGTCAACGCGTATAAAAGATGCACGCAACCGTATCGTCGGTTTATTTCGATTCAATCAAGCTTACAGCAGGACGCTCCGCTCTCTCAAGGTGCAGCACCGGAGGATTCGGTTTGAGCCAAGCAGAATCAGCTTGAAGATGGACTTCCGGTTCTGGCGTGTAGATAGCAACAGGTGTGCATGTGGCAGAAAATAATATCAAGGTGGAAAAAAGGATTGGAGAAGGCTAGAGAGGTCAAAAGCGGCGGAACAGGGAGGCGAGAAGGCGCGAGAAGGCGGAGGCAAAAGGGTTAAGAACGGGAGGAGGCAGCTAAGAGGAAAAGGGTAAGGAAAGTGACGAGTGAGAGGTGAACAGGCGGCATAGAACACAGATAGTATAGAGGGGCGACTGACAGGAAAGCGAGGCACGAAAGCGGGCATAGACTAGCGCGGATATAGAGGGGATAAATATTAGAAACGCGTTCAACATAGGAAAGATATCAAGTAGGAGGGAAAGGCAAAGGAAAAGCGGCGGATGGAGGCAGAGAAAGAAAGAAGAATAGAGATTGACCAGCAGAGAAAGATAAAAAGGAAGAGGAAAGACGAAGGGGAGAAGAAAGCAAGAGGCAGGCCTACGAAGGCGGAGGAGCTTGCTAAACAAAGAGGAAGGGCGGACAGCCTAGGATCGGTCAAAGAGCTCATTTTGAAAAGGGAAAAAAAAGAGTTAGAAGAAGAAGCGGCTAGGGCAGCAGAGAAAGAAATTCTCGATAAATTTAACGAAACGAAAAGGACCAACAGATCACCGCCAACGAAGATAAAAAAAGGAGAAGAAGATAAAGAAAGAATGGCGGACAGAGGATCTATTAAAAGAGATATTGAGGAAAATGGAAGAACAAAAGGAGGAAAGGAAAAAAGATAAAAAAGAAATAAAAAACGAAATTAAGGGACTAAGGGAGGAATTGAAGAAAAGGAAGGAAATATGGGAAAAGCAGAGAAAGGCGCTAGAAGAAAAAGTAAAGAAAATGGAGGAGAAGATAGAAAAATTAGAGATGAAGGGCGCAGAGAAGAATGAAGGCCCCTGAGTTAATAAGGAAAATGAAGGAAATAGAAAGAAATATGGAGATGACAAAAAGAAGAAAGAGAAAAAACAACATAATCGTGAAGGAGGAAAAAATAAGAAACGAAAAAGAGAATTTTGAAAAGTTGATGGAAGAATTAAATATTACAGAAGGAATCATAGAAAAAATACAAGAAATAGGATACGGGGACTACAAAATGAGACTCTTGAAATGCAAAAACTGGAAAGCTAAAAAAGACATTATGAAGAAAAAGAAGAAACTAGGAAGGAAATATGGAACCTTTCTGGATGATGATCTCACCAAACAGGAAAGACAAATACAAACAGAGATAGAAAAGATAGCAAGGGAGAAGAGAGAGAAAGGAAAAAGAGTAACAATTGGTTATCAAAAGATGTGGAAGGACAACAAGGAATGGAGATGGAGCGAAAGCAAAGCCAGATTAGAGGAGAGGGAAAACTTTCATAGGTCACAACGAAGAGAATGAGGACAAAGAACGCGAGGAGGAAGGGGAAGATAAAAGGGAGGAGGGAGAGAGAGCAGCAGGAAGAAAATCCAAAGATGAGGAGGGTGCAGATATAAAGGGAGGGAAGGGAGAAAGAGGGGTGAGGAAAGAAACGAAGGTGGTATTTTGGAATGTAGCGGAAATAATAAATAAGGATAGAGACTTTTGGGATGGGGTAAAGAAGTGGGATGCGATTATTATAATGGAGACATGGATGGATAAGAAAAGATGGGAAAAGATAAAAGAAAAAGTACCAAAGGAATTTAGTTGGAGAGTACAGATAGCGAATAGGAGAAATAAGAAAGGTAGAGCTTGCGGAGGAATGCTAGTAGGAATAAGGAAAGGGTTAGAAGAAATAAAGGAGGGAAAAGGGAGGGAAGAGGAGGAAAACAAAGTCGAAGTCAAGCTAAGAATAGGAAAGGAAATATGGAAAATAATAGGAATATATGTAAACAAAGACATTGATAAAAAGTTAGAAAGCTTGAATGATTGTTTAAAGGAGGGAAAAATAGGAGTAAGGACCATAATAGGTGGCGACTTCAATGCGAGAACTGGAGAGGAGGGAGGAAGGGAGGAGGAAGATGAAGAAAGTGGAAAAGAAAGAGGGAGAAAATCTAAAGACAAGAAGGTGAACAAGGATGGAAGGACACTACTAGAATTTATAGAAGAAAGAGGATTGATGATTTTAAATGGTGGTACGAAAAGAGAAGAAGAAGGAGAATACACATACACGGGAGGAAAGGGCGAAACAGTTATAGACTATATTATAGGTGATGAAGATAGCAGAGGAAAAATAGAAAGACTAGAAATAGGGGATAGAGTAGAATCAGACCATCACCCGCTAATACTGTGGATAAGAGGCGGAGCGAAGAAAACGCAGAGAGGGGAAAAGATAGAAGGGATAAGAAAAAGAGAAATATGGAGCGAAGAAGGAAGAAAACAATTCGCTGAGAGGCTAGGAAGGATAGGAGGAAACAGAAAGTTGCAGGAGGAAATAGAGGAGGGGGTGTCAAAGATAAGAGGAATACTAGAGGAGAATGAAAAGGGGGAGGGCCGGGGAACTAATAAGAACAGAAGAGGATGGTGGGATGAAGAATGCAAGGAGAAAAAGAAAGAAGCGAGGGCAGAACCAAGAAAATGAAGGAAGGGAAAAGGGGAGGTAGAAAGATATAGAGAAGGAAAAAGGAAATACAGAGAAATATGTGAAAGAAAGAAAAAGGAAGAGAAGGAAAGGATGATTACAGAGATAGGAGAGGCGAGATCGGAAAATAAGGTATGGGAACTGATAGGTAGAGTAAGGAAAAGAAGGAAGAGGATAAACGAAGACATAAGGCTAGAAGAATGGAAAAAATACTTCATGGAGCTAATGGGAGGCGTGGAAAACAGTGTAGTGAAAGGAGAAGGAGGGAGGGACAGACAAGATGAGGAAGAGATAGAGTTAGAGGAGGTTAGAAATGTAATAAAGAAACTAAAAACAGGAAAGGCAATAGGTAAGGACGGAATTCCGAATGAAGTATGGAAATATGGAGGAGAAGAGATGGTGAGGTGGGTCTGGGAAATATGTAAACAGGTATGGAGGGGGGAAGGCTGGCCGGAACAGTGGAAGGAGGGTGAGATAATACCATTAGTGAAGAAAGGAGAAGGAAAAGAGCTCAATGTATAAGATATACACGGCGGTATTAGCAGAAAGGATAAGGAAAGAAGTAGAAATGAAGAACTTGATTCCCGATAACCAAGCAGGATTCAGAAAAGAAATGGGGACGATGGACCAGATATTTATGTTAAACTATTTGATAAACAGACACCTAGGAAAGGAGAAAGGGAAGATGACAGTTCTGTTCGTAGACCTCAAGGCGGCGTTTGACTCAGTAGATAAGAAAGTTCTAATTAAGGCAATGAAAGAGAGAGGGATGAAGCAAGGACTGATAGACAGGGTAGAAGAAGTGCTGAGAGAAACAAAAAACAGTGTGAGAAGGGGAGAAGAAAAAGGGGACTCATTCTGGATGGCGAAGGAATTAAGACAGGGCTGCCCGTTAAGCCCGATACTGTTTAACCTTCTAATTGCAGACATAGAGGATCACATGAGGAAGGGAGGATGGGGGGGTGTGAGTGTAAAAGGGGAAAAGATATACACCCTAATGTATGCAGATGATATAGCAGTACTAGCGAAGGAGGAACAGGACATGAGATCCATGATAAGCAGGCTTGAGGGATATCTAGACAGGAAGGGCCTAACTCTAAGTACGGAGAAAATGAAGATAATAAGATTTAGAAAAGGAGGAGGGAGGAAGAAGAAATATGACTGGAGATGGAAGGGAAAGAAATTAGAAGAGGTTAAAGAATTCAAGTATCTGGGGTACACGCTGATGGCGAATGGAGGGCAGGAGGCGCATATCAGAGAGAGAAAAAGGAAGGCAGCAAGAGTAATGAGGGAAGTGTGGGGGATAGAGAAAAGAATGTGGAAAAAGGACTGTAAAAGAAGGATCTGGCTTTATGATACACTGATATGGACGGTGATGGGATACGGGGCAGAAATATAGGGATGGAAGGAAAGGAGGGAGGTAGAAGGGATACACGAGAGATACCTCAGATGGACACTCGGTGTAAACTGGAGGACCCCAGAGTACATGGTCAGGGATGAACTAGAAAGGGAAAAAATGGGAGCCAGAGCAAGCAAGAGAGCATGGAAATTCGAAAGAAAACTGGAAGAAGGTAAAGGAGGAAAAATAGCAAAGAAATGTTTGGAAGAAATGAAAGACAGATGGAAGAAGGAGAGGATAATAGGAAGATGGGAGCAGGAGAGAAGGGATTACTTGGAGGGTATCGGTGTAGAAATGGGACGGGAGGAGGGACTGACGGAGGAGGCATTAGAATACAAGGAGAAAGCGAAGCAAAGACAAGAAGGAATGGGAAAGATTATGGAATCGAAATACAACAGGTGGTATAAGTTTATAAGGAAGGAAGGGATACCGGATTATTTAAAGAAAGGCTGGGAGGAGGCAAGATGGAGCAGAATTGCAAGGTTTAGATTGGGCAACGAGATCAGGGAGGGACTATACTGGGGAAAAGAGGAAGAAAGTGCAGGATATGTGAGAAGGAGGAGGAGACGTGGGAACATGTCTGGGAAGAATGTTCGAGATGGGACGATTGGGAGGGAGAGAGCTGGCAAGACGTGGGGGGAAGAATAAGGGGTGAAAAGGGGGGGGGGGAGGAAGGGAGGAAAGCGAGAGAAGAAAGAGGGGGGGGGGGGGGGAGGAAGGAAATAGAAGCTGAGAAGATGGCTAAGAAAATTTTTTAATTACAGATAAGGTCAGAGAAGGGGAGCACAGGACAAAAGGAAGGAATGGAGTTTAGAGCGAAGGTGACAGTAGAGAAAGAGATGCTGGAGAAACTGATAAGGGATCAAACAAAGGAAACACTGAGAGGACTGAAAAAGGAAATAAAAGACCAGAGAGAGGAGATTGAGAGCCTAAAGAGAAAAATACGCAAGCTGGAACAGGGCGCGGGTAAAAGAAAGAGGGACGAAAGCGCGCAGAGCAGGGGCAGGCAAGACGAAATAAAATGGTGGTCCGACGACGATGAGAGAAATGACGACGAGAGAAGGAAGAAAAATATAATAATAAGGATAGAGAGAAACAGATGGATGGGAAAGGGAACGAATTGGGAGAAGGTGAGGCAACTGCTCTCTGAGGAACTGAATCTAAAGGTAGAAATGAAGAAAGTAAGCGTAATAGGGCTGAGAGGAGAATGGCTGACGATGCTGGTGAGGCTGGGAAGTGAAAAAGAGAAATGGAGGGTATTAGACGCGAGGAGGAGGGCAGGGAGCAGACTAAAGGTTAAGATGGACGAAGATAAATCCGTAGAAAGAAGAATTAGAGAAGGAGAAGAGAAGAAGAAGAGAAAGGAGAGGAGGGAAGAAGACGGTAGGATTACAAAAGGATCAGAAGAAGATGAGATAGCGAGCGAGCTTGAGAAGAGCTTACTAATAGAGACAGAAAAAGAAAAAAAAGAAAAAACAAAGGCCGAGTAAGAAGAAAGAAGAAGAGACCAGGGCGAATACAGCGGGACACGAGCGGGCAGCAAAAACCCGAGGAGCGAAGTGCCGCCGGTTACTAAGGGGATGCGGTTCATCGCTGGCCCGGGCGTAGGCGGGTGCGTGCCGAAGCGGCGGCAGCGCTCAGGACAATCCGAGGAGGGACCAGTGCCGGTAACGTGTCGGTCGGTACACGCGCAACAAGATGCTGCGTGTGTGCGACCCTGCTTGTAAGGCATCCTGGGACAAAGAGATTACAGGAGCGACCGAAACACGCAGGAATGAGGGGCGCTGCCGCAGGTCTGCGTAGACACCATCGAGGCTGGTTGCCTGAGGGCACGAACAACGTCACCAGGTCCGATTACCTAGAAACGCTTGAACTTATGAACATGCTCGCTGAGAATCAGCTTAAGGCATGACTCGTCGACGAGGATGAAGAGTGTAGTCTGCGGGCAGCGGCTGCGCCACCCCTGGCAAATCCCCAAATAGAGATTCGCAACAAGACTAATTTCTGTTACTTTGATTATTTTGAGAGTATATGTATACTGATATTCTGGTCACACCGGTTTTGTAAAGGGTTGGGTACGTCCCTGAAAAACGCCGATCGCAGCAAGACTGATGTATACTGTTTATTTTTTGAGATTAATTTATTTTAGTTATATTTTGATGTTATTTTGATTTTTGAAGATATTTGGGTGGATACTCAGCCTTGTAAAGGGTTGGGTACGTCCCTGAAAAACGCCGATGAGCCTATGACAGGCACATGTACAGGGTTGGGTACGTCCCTACAAAACGCCTTTTTGGACCCCTTGGGGTAATAAAGTAACTATATACATGACGATGACGATGACGATGACGCGATGACGATGACGCGATGACGATGACGATGACGATGACGATGACGATGATAATAATAATAAAAAAAAAATTAACAAACACAGTAAACACTGTGCCGCAATTAACACGTAGAACTACGTCTATTAGAATAGAACATAACCAACGAAGAGCGAAAACATTTAGCTTACATCAAAATCTTTCAAAAACTATATAATAAAGTATATTTTCCTTTAATACTTTTCGAGAACAAACCCATATCAAAAAATTAACCACGAAAACATTTAGCTTACATCGAGAGCTTTCAAAAACTATAATAAAGTATATAATAAAGTATATTTTTCTTTAATACTTTTCGAGAAAAAGAAAACGTTGCATGAAAACGTTGCAAGAAAACGTTGCAGTCATACCCCCATACCCCCCGAGAAAGACGTAGTTCTACGTCAAAAATAATAATAATAATAATAATAATTTAAGAAGAAGAAAGCGGAATCGGAACTCAAAACCTTGCGATTATTGTGACTATTAGTAGGAGACATAAAGGCCTTTGCACAATAAAAAATATAAGTAATAAGGAACAGATATTTAGCGATTAGAAATAAAAAAATCAGGAATAAAGCTAATATAACATTAATACATGGCTTCCAATAGGTTAAAAATTTTTTGTCTGTGTTATTCCCTTTTTCCGTTGCCTATATTTTTTATCGTGCATCCAACTTTATTCTTAATTCTTTAGTCCTAATTTAATTGCTAATATATGTACCTTATATTTTTCATTGTGCGGAGGCTTTAAGATCTCTTGTCTCTCTCACACAGTATAAGTGCGCACGCGCCGCCACTACCTCCCCGATAGTAACAACTCTCGCGGTAGCAATAAAAACTAGAAAACAGGACCGCTTAGCGGACCTTCCCCCACCACTAAAAAAGCGAGGAGTTATCCAACCTGTATATGCAACCGTGCTTAATATACATATTGTTCATCTATGCCTTGACCACTAGTTCCTATTTCTTTCTCTATACTTAATCTTGATAACGTATCAGCTATGTTCGTTTTTCCTTCCTCATACACTACCTTGTATTTAAACTGTTGCAAACGTAACACCAACCTTTCTACCCCAGCATTTAGTTTTGTCTTTGACGCAAATATATATTCTAATGCCTTATGATCCGTGACTAGTTCAAATTCAATGCCATATAACCAAATATAAAATCTTTTGCACGCATAAACTAACGCAAGCATTGTAGTGTATTTGGAATAATGAATATAGCCGACTAATGACAACACTTGGTCCTTTATTGCACGCTACACGTTCCACTGTCGACGCTTTCTCTAGATCGCTGCTTGCTGTCGCGATCCGCGCCCTATCTCTTACCTATCGGTATGATCAGTCTCGCACATGTGCATTATGTACTACAGCAGCGATTGCTTATCTTCTAAAATGTCGATTAGCAGTCAACAAGTAACAATACATAAGACTTTCAATAAATTTTAAGAAATAAATAAGAAATGTTACAAACAAGATCGGTTATTGCCTTTGTTCTTTTTATTACATGCGTGACTTGTCAGCAAGTGACGAAGGATCGGGCGCACCGTTGCTACTTCAAAATTTATTATTTTTACATGACGAGAGACAACTAAAGAATTTATTTGATATGATTTTAAACAACCAGTTATAAGTATTAAAATTCTTATTTATAATTACACTTAAATTTTTTATTAATTTTTGTTATAGTAATTTACTATAGTAACTCACTATTTTATTAGAGTATTATAATATTATATAATACTACAACACACAATGTAGAATAATTACCACAATTATCGGAAGGACGATAATACAGTGAAGTAGGACATGGATGCCTGCATGACCTAATAAAGAAAAATAGATATGTATTAATACACGTATAAATAATATAACTTGGGTAATTATTTACTTTAAAGGACACCACGTCGATCTTGAAATATATTGTCAAGGACATGACCTTGAGTAACCTTCAAAAAGTTTTAGTCGGCGGACATTTATTTATTCAAAAGTCATCAGCGTGGTGTCCCCTAAAGTAAATAATTACCAATTTTAATTTGCCTAAAAGAGTAAGTAAATTGATTAAAACTGATATAAATTTATTAATAGAAACTTTAAATTCTTAAAAACAAACAATTTCGTAACTTGCCAGTGATGATTAACGAATATACATATTTCAATTACATCGACTTAACTGGCCACAATTAAATCACAATTAAAACAAATCACGACGTTTCGGCCCTTGGTTTAGGCCCTTTTCAAGTCCAAACTATAACATAATATAACGCAAAAATCATAAATAAGAGTCAATCTAAATATACGTATTGAAAGTAACAAAAAGTAATACCTAAATCATCCGTAAGAATCGTCTTTAAAAGCATAAGACATCCGTAATGTATGAAATTATTTCAGAAAAATCATAAAAGCTAAAATGTGATATATGTGTTAATAATGTTAAGATGTAATAAAATGTAAAAAAAATTAAAAAATAAAAACTTATTACGTGTCTTGTGTGTCCAAGAGAAAAGATATAGACTTATAAAAATAACCGAATGTGACATGTTGTTCGTCCAAAAGCGGCAGACAGACTGAATATAAAATCGCGCGATTTAGAACAATGAGGCGGTAAATGAGTTTGTTGAGATAAATATTTACAAGAGAAATTTCAAGTTGACAAATCATAATAAGTCTATCATATATGGGACTGAGATTCTCTGTATCTTTTTGCAGGTTAATATTATCTTTGAATTTTTTTATATAAAACATTTCAGAAATTTCCCTCTTACTCGTGTTTTTTTTCTTTATGTAGAATCTCAGGTTCCGTCCACTTGAAATCGTGATACGCGATGTTTGCTAACCACAGAGTGATTACTATCATGTTTAATAATGTCTCTCCTGTGTTCTTTAATGCGGGTCTCGAGATGACGTTTAGTCTGTCCAATATAAGATGTTTTACAGTCATTGCAATTTATTTTGTATACAATTTCTGTATTTTTGGTAATAGTTAATTTGTCTTTACCTCTTTTAATAATACTGTCTAATTTTTTTCATACATGTCTTTTATAGATGTCTTGTGCATTTAAAGACGATTCTTACGGATTATTTAGATATTACTTTTTGTTACTTTCAATACGTATATTTTGATTGACTCTTATTTATGATTTTTGCGTTATGTTGTTATAGTTTGCACTTGAAAAGAGCCCAAACCAAGGGCCGAAACGTCATAATTTGTTTTAATTGTGGCTAGTTAAGTCAATGTAATTTTTAATTTTTAATTTTTGAAAATAGGGATTGACAAATATACTAAACGTTTATTGCTTAATTCTCTTTCTTTATGTCTATATTGTTTTTTTTTATCAATTGTTTTTATAAATAATTAAATTTTAAATAATAACTTTACAATTAAATAAATAACTATATATAAAAATTTCAATATTAATAAAATAAAGGTAGCAAACAAATATTACAAGTAATAATAATATAAAAATTTGTTATAAATAAAAATATTTTGTAAATAAAACTAATATATATTTTATGTGTGAAGATGAATAAGTAAAATTATAAAATTAAGAAAGTAATTTTACTAATTAAAAGTAAGAAAAATAATCGTTCTTATTTAGAAGAAATTAATTTAATTCAAATATCTTGGAATTTTGTATAAAAGAATGATGGCATTTTGCCCATTTTTTGGACCTCGAATTTTAAATTTTTTTTCATGGCAAATAGTACTATTAGATGAAACATTAATTCCAGTAAAATTTCAAGATGAGCATAGTCACGGTTCCGGAGATACAAGGGGGTGAATATATGGGATATCGAAAATTCGTATAAGGGTAACTTTGTCATTTTTAGAGATATTTTAAATCCGCAAGCGGGTGCTGTTTCGGAATCGGGTACAAACAATTCTAAAACAGCACCCGCTTGCAGATTTAAAATATCTCTTAAAATAACAAAGTTACCCTCATACGAATTTTCGATATCTCTTATTTTCACCCCCTTGTATCTCCGGAACCGCGCCTATACTCATCCTGAAATTTTACTAGGATTAATGTTTAATCTAATAGTACTATTTGGCATTAAAAAAGTTAGAAATTCGAGGTCCAAAAAATGGGCGAAAAAACAGGTCTTTTTGCTATCATTCTTTTGTCTATATTTTATAAATTGCACCGACAATCTACGCTACTTTATGAGTCAAAGATTCAAGTTCAAATTTAATGAAAATTGTCGGTTTGTATTCGATTGTCACTTAAAAAAAAGAGGCAACTCATTAAGATGTCTAGTTTGCCATGAACGCCTTTCTGTAGAAGAGAAGTCGCAAGTTGTCTTCTTGGCGACCGTGTTTGTAAACGTTGCTAAGCAGAATTGGTGCCGCTTTCGAGCTGACAAGACACGTATCGCGAGCCGAGTTGTATCTCTTGATTGAATAAATCTCTCTTTCCTTCGAACTCAAGTCCGTTTTTTTCCGCAAGGCTGGGAGTGCGCGAGTGCTAGTGAGAGTGTAAAGGAATGACACGGGCGTTTCCTCGCGGCTAGCTCAACATTAGATTCTACATAAATAATCCGTAGATATGTGTGTGTGTGTGTGTAGTAGTAGTAGTAGTAGTAGTAGTAGTAGTGGCAGTGGCAGTGGCAGTGGCAGTGACAGTGGCAGTGGCAGTGGCAGTGGCAGTAGTAGTGGTAGTCGTAGTGGCAGTGGTAGTCGTAGTGGTAGTGGCAGTGGCAGTGGTAGCGGTAGTGGTAGTCGTAGTGGTAGTCGTAGTGGTGGTGGTAGTAGTAGTGGTAGTGGTAGTAGTAGTGGTGGTAGTAGTAGTAGTGGTAGTAGTAGTGGTGGTGGTAGTAGTGGTGGTGGTAGTAGTGGTGGTGGTAGTAGTGGTAGTAGTAGTAGTAGTAGGAAAAAAGACAGACGCGGAGTCTTCTCGTTCAGACAAGGACGCAATACGCTTTAAGAAGAATCCGCATATACTTACAAGGTATTCTGTTTAAAATAATTACTAATTGCAACGCGTTGGTTTTGACGTTAAATAAAAAGGATATAAATCCGAGAATCGCGCGCTGGGCACTTGAGTTGCAGAATTATGATTATTCCACGGAACACAGGCCGGGAAAAAGAATGCAACATGTGGACGCATTAAGCAGGGCAAACGGTATTTTAGTAATTGAGCTTAACACTTTCGAGTTCGAATTATCGGTATGTCAAATGCAAAATCCAGTCATTAGAAAGTTGAAGACACGTTTAGAAAAAGAGTAAGATAGCTTGTACGAAATAAGGAATGGTCTTGTGTATCGCAAAAATTTTATTTTTTGTTCCGCAAGAAATGAAGCAGGATTTACTCCATAAACATCATTATTTCGGGCATTTTGGAGTAAAAAAAACGCTAACATTGTTATAAAAATTTTATTGGTTTCCGAATCTGAAGTATAAAATTCACGATCACATTAAAGACTGTACGAAGTGTATCGCTTTTTCGAAAACGTCGGGAAAAACCGAGGGATTTTTGCATTACATTCCTAAAAAGAATGTGCCTTTTGCGACAATACACGTTGATCATTTCGGTCCGGTAAAACGAGCGAATGCGTAAAAAAAACATGTACTTTTAGTCGTCAATGCATTCACAAAATTTGTAAAACTGTACGCGGTTAAGTCAACGACATCGCGTGAGACAATTGGATGTCTTAAGGATTATTTTAACGTTTATAGTAAGCCAAAGATTTTGATATTAGATGGTGAAACTAGCTTTACGTCAAAAGAATTCGAAGAATTTGTAACGTTGCGCCCCGTAATTGCATCGTTCTCGGCCAATATCAGCTGAATACCGCCCGGTCGAACATCCGCCGGGCGAGGAAAGGCACGGGGTGCCATATTTTTAATCATATGTAAAATGCGTGCGAATAAGCCCTCGCGAGGGACTTACCGCGGCAACCGCCTCGAAGCACCAAGCGGTGCCGAAACCAACCGAAGGCCGCCGAACGCAATTGCGGCGTCGGGACGCCGTAATTTCCGACCGTCCCGCCGCTCCATCCCGGCGCTCGCGATTGCTGTCACTCGTACCCTCGCCACTTGCAAAGCACCGCCGCGGGTATATAAACCCGAAATTGTTACAACAATTCGTATCCACCGTGAGCCAGTACACCGATCCGACCGATCATCCGCTGCTCTCGGCATCCGAAACCTTAGCAACCAAACGAGTCCTGGGTAGAGAGTTCTCTGCCTCTGTCGAGTGCATCTCGACGGCTCGTCCGTCCCGACCGCTCCTCGCTTTAGCGGCACGTTCAGGTCCAGAGAATCTCTGGACTTGCTGGGGGTCTTAGCCGTCCGATAGGACTATCCGTCCATCACCGTCATCCGTCCATCCGTCCATCATATCGTCGCGCACCAGGATAGAGATGTACAGTCTATCCTTGCCAAGAGTCTTGGCCGAACGATACCATTCTCTGGCCGACGGGATCCGGACGCTCCGGCTTAGGGAGTCAGTCCCTATACCCGTTGAGTGTCCCAGCCGCTCGAGACCGTCAATCCTTTTCCTCCACTCCGGCGAAAACGCCGCGCACCGACATAACCGCCGCAACTCGCGTCGCCACCGTGCACGAATCCGCACCCCGGTATCAAACCGCGCCGTATTTGCCGTATTCGCCGCGCTCGCGCTCCCACCATCTCTGCGCCTCGCGTTCCGCCCGCGAATGCGGCATTACTGTACATACGCAATACCTGTAAATATAATACCAATTACCGCGACATCAATCTTTGTTAATCTCAGCGCCTGTAAATATCTCATCTGTTGTGTGAACTAGATGGGTTTGGGAACGCGCTAATTGTAAAACTGATGTGGAGATGGCGTTGCGTAGGCGGTACACACACAATAAGCGTAGCGTGCTTAAGTAGAGATACAAGAATAAAGCCACGTACTTATATTCACTCGAGCCTGATAATTATTACTGCCCTCAGTACCACTACATGGTGTCAGAAGTGGTAGATTCAGTGAAATTGCCTCAAAGCAAGACAAGATTCAGATTGTCAAAGATCTTGACAAAGAAATAGACGCATTCTCGGTAAGCCAGACCATCGAAAGTTCGCGAATTGAACAATGGCGACAGAAGAAGCTAAACCATTATATGGGATTCAAGTTTCTGCACCTTTTGATTTCCTAAAACCTGAGCTATGGAAAATCTAGATAAAACGCTTTATGCGTTATCTTTGGGTAGCAAACATGTCGAGTAGACAGGATGTGGAGAAGATTAATCTTCTTTGCTATACCATGGGCGAGAAAGCTGAAGAAATTTTAACTCAAGTTATGCCGACTATGGCTTTCAACACAACGTTTGATGCGGTTAAGAAAAAATTTTATGATTATTTCTCTCCAAAAAGAAATATTGTGTTCAAGAGATATAAATTCAATTTTCGTATACAGTTGGAAGGCAAGCCTGCAGACGTATTCATCACGGCATTATACTCTCTAGCAGAAACGTATGAGTATGGCCCATTAAAGGAAGAGCTTATACGAGATCGTATTGTGATCGGTATTTGGGATGTACATCAGAACGGTTGCAGTTAACCTCACATTTGACGGTGGAGAAAGCAATAGAAATGGTACGCCAGGCAGAAATTCAGGCGAAATAAAGTAAAGCCATCAGGCAAGAAACTGTAAACACAAATACGGTGAATAAAATTTCTCAGAAGAAAAAGATGATTTTTCAATCACGAGATGGTAAATCTGCGTACAACGAGGAACAGAAGTGCACGAGATGCGGCCTAGCAAGACATGCGGATTTCAAGAAATGTCCAGCACTCAAATCAAGATGCAGAAATTGCGACAAACTAGGCTACTGGGATAAGAAATGTTGTTCCAAGAAGGTCCATCGCGTCGAGGAAGAAGAAGATGCTGTTAGTCATGACAATAGTCCTGCCTTTCTGGGTAAAGTTAACGACAGTTCAACAGATAGAGACTTTAAGGTTAAAATGAAAATTTCTGAATTAGAAATAAAGTTAGATTTTGTTATTGATACAGGCGCGGACATAACTTGTATTGCGAATAATTGTATTCCGGAACGTTTTTATAACAAAATTGTTAAATCTTCAAAAAGTATTTTAGGACCAGATGGCAAGTCTATCAGTAACAGGTTACGTTGATATAACTTTATGGGACCAACGTTGCAAGGCCAAGTCTTTTTTTTTTTTTTTAACGTGTGGAAATCTTCTACCACTGTGGCAGCCGGGGAGAGCCGCTACCCGGCAACCAGTCACGCACCCAGTAGCCCCCCGTTTGACAAGGGGAAAGACCCCCTCACCCTCCGGGGAGAGGAGTGAGGGGAGTGCCAGATTCCATGCATGTACATCGCCCACGATACTACATGCATGGCCTACCGGCTAAAACCACACGGTCGTCCCTCTCGGCACATCGAGAGGTGGCCCCGGGAAACGCAATGATACCATCCGGGACTTGCAAGGCCAAGACTAGGGTTTACGTTATTCAAGAATTGAAGCATGTTAGGCAAACCCGAAATTAAGAAGTTCGGATTAATAAGCAAAATGAATGCAATAAAACTAGAGGAACTTTCAAAAGAAGTATGTTTAAAATTTTCAGAATTATTTAAAAGTATTGGGCAATTTAAAAAAGAATTGAGAATTTATTTGAAAGAAGGAGCAATTCCCTTTTCCCAATCAGTTCCTCGAACTATAGCTATTTCTTTGCAACCCAAGTTAAAAAAAGAATTAGATAGACTCGTTGAAAAAAGCATAATAAAACCAGTAGATTTTCCTACCGATTGGTGTAGTCCTATTGTAGTTGTCCCAAAGAAAAATAGCGATAGTATTCGTCTTTGCTGTGACTATTCTAAATTAAATAACAATGTAAAAAGGGCTAATTTTCCAATTCTTAAAGTCGATATTATGTTAGCTAACTTAAAAGGATAAAAAATATTTACTAAATTAGATGCACAAGCAGGCTTTCATCAAATTAAGCTTTACGAAGATAGCCAAACTCTTACTACTTTTATTACGCCCTTTGGAAGGTTTATGTTCACGAGATTGCCTTTTGGTATAAATTGTGCACCACAATACTTTTCACAAATGTTTATAGAATTGCTAAGAGATATTTCCAATGTGATAGTGCATATAGATGATGCTCTAATTCATGCTGAAACTAAACAAAAACATGATGAAACATTGAATAAAGTCCTCGATAGATTGAAGAAGGAAGGAATTACTTTAAATAAAAATAAATGTATTTTTGAGCAAAAAGAAATAGAATTTCTGGGACATAAAATTTCTGAAAGGGGAACTGAGATTTTACCAGACAGAGTATCAGCCATTATAAAATTTCCTGCTCCAACAGATAAAGGTTTATTATTGCTTTTTCTGGGTATGGTCAATTATGTAAGTAAGTTTGTACCTAACAAATCTTCAGTGTTAGAACTTCTAAACAGTTTATTAAAAGACAATGTTCATTTCGTGTGGCTTCAACCACAACAACTAGCATTCAAAAGAATAAAAGAACTTCTATTGCAAGCTCTTATTTTAGCCCATTTTGATCATAATAAGAAAATTGTTGTACAGGCTGACGCTTCTAGTTACGGGTTAGGAGGTGCTCTCATTCAAGAAAATGAGATGCAACAGAAGAATAGTTGTATATGCTTCTAGGACTCTTTCTTCGGCGGAAACAAAATACAGTCAAATAGAGAAGGAAGCCTTAGCGTTGGCCTACGCAACATAACATTTTAAAGAATATATTATAGGTATAGATGTAATCCTCGAAACAGATCATAGACCATTACTCCAAATATTGCAAAGTAAGCTTTTAGATGAACTAACACCGCATCTTCAGAGAATAAGACTGAGACTTATGCGATATAATTATTCTGTTATATTTGTACCTGGCAAGCACTTAGTCCTGGCAGATTGTTTATCTAGAAGCCTAGTAGACGATGTTGGAAAAAGTAAGGATAATCTACC